CAGTAAAAATAAACCATTGACCAGAGGGGCATGACCATAAAACATATCTCTCGTATAAATAGAACAACCAATATTCTCGAATTTAAATGAGTAGCCATCTCGCATTAAATGAGATCCAGATACAATGTTCATGCTCAAAGCTGGCACTAAATAACAATTATTGAGGTTTAAAACTAATCCCGAAGGTAGATGTAGAGGTAGCGTGATGACGGCGATCACATCGACCTTGGAACCATTCCTGACCCGCATCGTCACCTCGTCCTTCGCTAGTCTCGCTTATTCCGCAGCTCCTGTTTTGAGTTACATATGTGAGCAACTGCACCGGTATCAAATACCCCGGAGCTACTACGAGCGCTGGTAAGGCACACATCAATAACATGTATATCATATATACCTTTGGCATTGCCGACCTTCTTATCTGCTAAGTACTTGGGGCAGTTCCGCTTCCAGTGACCATTTCCCTTGCAATAAAAACACTCAGTCTTAGGCTTGGGTCCATTCTTTGGCTTATTCCCGGCAACTGACTTACCGGGCGCGGCAACTCCCTTGCCATCCTTTTTGAAGTTCTACTTACCCCTGCCTTTCTTGAAACTAGTGGTCTTATTCACCATCAACACTTGATGTTCCTTTTTGATCTCCACCTCTGCTGATTTTAGCATCAAATATAACTCAGGAATGGACTTCTCCATCCCTTGCATATTGTATTTCATCACAAAGCTCTTGTAGCTAGGTGGAAGCGACTGGAGGATTCTGTTAATGACCGAGTCATTTGGAAGATTAACTCCCAGCTGAGACAAGCGGTTGTGCAACCCAGACATTTTGAGTATATGCTCGCAGATAGAACTGTTTTCCTCCATCTTACAACTATAGAATTTGTCGGAGACTTCATATCTCTCAACCCGGGCATGAGCTTGGAAAACCATTTTCAGCTCTTGGAACATCTCATATGCTCCGTGTTGCTCAAAACGCTTTTGGAGCCCCGATTCTAAGCTGTAAAGCATGCTGCACTGAACCATGGAGTAATCATCACTACGCGGCTGCTAGGTGTTCATAACGTCTTGAGTTACTGGGAAAATGGGTGCGTCACCTAGAGGTGCTTCATGGACATATGCTTTCTTGGCAGCTATGAGGGTGATCCTCAAGTTACGAACCTAGTCTGTATAGTTGCTTCCATCATCTTTCAGCTTTGTTTTCTCTAGAAACGCGTTGAAGTTGAGGGCAACATTAGCGTGGGCCATTGGATCCATAGGATAGATTGTAAAGACAATTTTAGACTAAGTTCATGATAATTAAGTTCATCTAATCAAATTATTTAATGAACTCCCACTCAAATAGACATCCCTCTGGTCATCTAAGTGGTACATGATCCAAATCGACTAGGCCGTGTCCGATCATCACATGAGATGGACTAGTCATCAACGGTGAACATCTCCATGTTGATCGCATCTACTATACGACTCATGTTCAACATTTCGGTCTCTCGTGTTCCGAGGCCATGTCTGTACATGCTAGGCTTGTCAAGTCAACCTAAGTGTTTCGCATGTGTAAATCTGGCTTACACCCATTGTATGCGAATGTTAGAATCTATCACACCCGATCATCACGTGGTGCTTCGAAACAACGAACCTTCGCAACGGTGCACACTTTAAGGGAACACATTTCTTGATATTTTAGTGAGGGGTCATCTTATTTATGCTACCGTCGTTCTAAGCAAATAAGATGTAAACATGATAAACATCACATGCAAATCATAAAGTGACATGATATGGCCAATATCATCTTGCGCTTTTGATCTCCATCTTTGAGGCGCGGCATGGTCACCATCGTCACCGACATGACACCATGATCTCCATCATCGTGTCTTCATGAAGTTTTCTCGCCAACTATTACTTCTACTACTATGGCTAACGGTTAGCAATAAAGTAAAGTAATTACATAGTGTTTATATTGACTCGCAGGTCATAAAATAAATTAAGACAACTCCTATGGCTCCTGCCGGTTGTCATACTCATCTACATGCAAGTCGTGATTCCTATTACAAGAACATGATCGATCTCATACATCACATATATAATTCATCACATCCTTTTGACCATATCACATCACATAGCATACCCTGCAAAAACAAGTTAGACGCCTCTAATTGTTGTCGCATGTTTTACGTGGCTGCTATGGGCTTCTAGCAAGAACGTTTCTTACCTATGCAAAAGCCACAACGGTGATATGCCAATTGCTATTTACCCTTAATAAGGACCCTCTTCATTGAATCCGATCCGACTAAAGTGGGAGAGACAGACACCCGCTAGCCACCTTATGCAACAAGTGCATGTCAGTCGGTGGAACCTGTGTCACGTAAGCGTACGTGTAAGGTCGGTCCGAGCCGCTTCATCCCACAATGCCGCAGAATCAAGATAGGACTAGTAACGGTAAGAAAATTGAACAAATCATCGCCCACAACTACTTGTGTTCTACTCGTGCATAGAATCTACGCATAGACCTAGCTCATGATGCCACTGTTGGGGAACGTAGTAATAAATTCAAAAAAAATCCTACCTGTTACCAAGATCAATCTAGGAGATGCTAGCAACAAGAGACAGGGAGTGCATCTTCATACCCTTGAAGATTGCTAAGCGGAAGCGTTACAAGAACGCAGTTGATGGAGTCGTACTCGCGGCGATTCGAATCGCGGAAGATCCGATCCAAGCGTCGAACGGACGGCGCCTCCGCGTTCAACACACGTACAGCACGGGGACGTCTCCTCCTTCTTGATCCAGCAATGGGAGAGGAGAAGTTGAGGGAGAACTCCGGCAGCATGACGGCGTGGTGGTGGAGCTTGTGGTTCTCCGGCAGAGCTTTCCTACGCTCAACAAAGGAGGAGGAGAAGTAGGAGGAGGGAGGGCTGCGCCAGGGAAGAGTTGCAGCTCCCATGCACCTCCCCACTATATATAGGGGCGGAGGGGGTGGTTTCTTGCCCTCCAAGTCCATTGGGGCGTTGGCAAAGGTGGGAGGAAAGAAATCACATCATTTCCCTTCCCCACCGATTGTTATCCCCCCTCTTTAGGAATCTTGATCTTATCCCTTTGGGATATGATCTTATTCCTTCTAAGGGGGGATCTTGGTGCGCCTTGACCAAGGTGTGGGGCCTTGCCCCCACTACCCACGTTCATGTGGCCCCCCCTCCATGCAGGTGGGCCCCACTCCAGAACCTTCTAGAACCTTCCCGGTGCAATACCGAAAAATCCCCAACATTTTCCGGTGGCCAAAATAGGACTTCCCATATATAAATCTTTACCTCCGGACCATTCTGGAACTCCTCGTGACATCCGGGATCCCATCCGAGACTCTGAACAACTTTTGGTAACCACACACAGTTCCTGTTACAACTCTAGCGTCATCGAACCTTAAGTGTGTAGACCCTACGGGTTCGGGAACCATGCAGACATGACCGAGATGCCTCTCCGGCCAATAACCAATAGCGGGATCTGGATACCCATATTGGCTCCCACATGTTCCACGATGATCTCATTGGATGAACCACGATGTTGGGGATCGAATCAATCCCGTATACAATTCCCTTTGTCCATCTGTATGTTACTTGCTCGAGATTCCATCATCGGTATCCCCATACCTCGCTCAATCTCATTACCAGCAAGTCTCTTTACTCGTTCTGTAACACATGATCCCATGACTAACTCCTTTATGCTTAGTTTGGATGTTGATATTCAGGGCCATGGAATTGTATTGGCCCCAATATTAAATCTCATTGGCTTTGATATTCACATTGAACCCAATTCTGTCGTTTGGATGTGCACAGAATTGCCACTTGGTATTCTCATGACAAGCTCAATTCTGAAGCTTGTTTGGATGGTCATTATCTACATTGGAATTGATCATTTTTCATATGATCAAATCGAACTTTGTTGTAATGTTTAGATGGCAGCAGTTATAAACTAGATGCACTTAACCAAAACCAACAATTATACATTAAACATGACTTAGACAGTAACACATACACAGCAGCTGCAGCACATACACAGCAGCACTTCCTTAGCAACAGCAGCACATACACAGTAGCACTTTCTTAGCAACAACAGCACATATACAGCAGCAGCACTTGCACAGCAGAACATATACAGCAGCAGCACATATATAGAAGCAGCAGCACATCTACAACAGCAGCAGCACTTGTACAGCAGCATATACAGTAACAACAACACATACAGCAACAGCAGCACTTATACAGCAGGAACACTTATAAATCAGCCAACAATAGAACATAATATAGGAAATTTAGGTCTCATACATGTAACAATAACATAGTAATTGGTCCAGCAAGTTCATAGCTATTACATGGAACAAAGAAACAACACTTATTAAGCACTTGAAACTACTCAAATGTTGTTCTTCTCATTGAGCATCAGCAACCATTCCTTCCTAAAGTCCATGGGCAACTCCATAAGCGCTTGAAATAAGCGTTCACTAAGGATGAGTTTACCATATGCTCGCAACATGTCAGAACGAGCCAACTCTGGGATCTTTTCAAGGGCAGCAAGGATTTCAAGAGGAGGGGTAACCTTGGGCAGTTCAAGTGGCTCAAGCGATTTCAAAGCATCTTGAAAAGAACCTTTCATGTCTCCAAGCATGCACAAGATAGCATCACCTGTTCGCTGCCTTTTTTGTGGCATTTCGGGAGAGTCTTCGACGGCTACTACATCGGGTTTTGTTGGTTGCGCTTTAGTTCCAGCACCTATCATTGCACCTTCACTGGTTGCATGATCTTTGGAGTATATTGTGCAAATTGCCTCCCAATTCTTCACTCTGTTCTTGTAACAAGCTGCCTTCGGATTAGCCTGCACAACATACAAAGTAAATCACTTGCTTGTATATATGCCATAGAATAAATTAAGTAAACAACCTTTTTTTACCTGCACATATTTGTTCCACACATCATCACTGTCCATGAGTAGCTTGTTATTGACCCAATCCCAACCAAATCCACTCTAAGAAAGAATCTTGCTAATCGTAGAATAATGCTTTTCAAAAGTCTTCATCCTTGAACATATTTTCTCCTTTGTGACGTGCAGTCCACACTTATCACGTATTGCCTTTATAGCAGCAGTGTAGACATGTGGCTTCCATCCATTTTGGCCCTGATCACCTCTGTTGTGATGTTCAACAAAGACATCCAACAATACCTTATCCATCTCATCTGCCCATGTCAAGTAATCTCTACTATACTTCTTCTTTGTTTCTTCAACCATGGTGCTACAAGTAAAAATTTGAATAACAATTGACAAACAAAAGAGAAAATATATTAATTGCTTTCTCATGATGATGATGTACAAAATATCCAAAAGTCTCCATCTACTAGCTATGCACAAAAGAGAACATAATACCCAACATCTAGCTAGACCAAAAGCAACATACATCATCTTGCTAGCCCAACATCTAGCTAGACAAAAAGAAAAATACATCATCTTGCTAATCCACATGCCCCACTACTGCTGTAAATTTGCATGCGCCACAACATATTCAGCAAACATGTCATTAGATAGTTGGTTCCTGAAGTTGGTCCATGCATTAGTGACTTGGACACTTCTAATTGAGTTGGCATCATCAGCCTCAGTTGGCTGAGAAGCTAGTTCATTATCCACTTCTTGTAGCAATAAGTTGTCCATCATATGCTGCCTATCCCTCGCAAAGTTGTGTAACACACAACAAGCATTAATGATTCAAATCTGCAAGAATGTTTTATTTAATTAAGCATTAATGATTTGTAACTCCGCTAGTCATCATATTGAAAACCCAATGGACACAGGTACCTAGCCCTTTATATCAAAGAAACTTTGAGTGCGAAGGATACCCCACTTCTTATTCCACAACCCAAAACTTCTCTCTACTACATTTCTAGCACGAGAATGGCGCAAGTTATATAACTCTTTGGCAGTTTGGGGTTGTTGCTGACTTGATGCCCACTCTTTCAGGTGATACCGAGTGGATCTGAGTAGAGCTAGAAATCCAGGCCCATTTGTGTAACCAGCATCAGCCAAGTAATATTTTCCTATTGGTAAACAAGTCAATTAGGTTGGTTGTGACATCCGCAATTAAAGAGAACAAAATGCCAAGAGAAAAGGCCATACCATGAGGTACAACAAATGCATCTTGGCGATCAGTTCTCATGGAGTCACGGAGGACTCTTGAGTCGGAAGCGGAACCCTCCCAGCCAGGTAAGACATACAGAAATTTCATGTTCCAGTTCACCACACCGAGCATGTTAGTAGTGATAGCTTGCTTTATATTTCTGTACCTCCCTTGGGCAGCCATAGGAACTGAAACGTCTACATGACAACCATCTAGTGCTCCAAGTGCATCACCAAACCACTTCCATTTGTAATCATCGGGAGGTTAAACATTAGCATCTGGAAGCTTAATGAACTCCCCATGCATAGATAGAATGGCACTTAAGATTGCGGAAAAGTGAGCACTTATAGTCCCCAAAGACCGCTTGTATGTGCCTCGAAGCAACATCATTTTCAGACCGTGACCCACTACTAGCAAAAACATGCAGCCTTTTCTTCCACAGTCACATACACACTACCGCTTAGACCACACCTCTCACGCAACATGGTGCATAAATCATGAAAGTTTGTTTTGGTTAAACGTAGCTGATCATAGCATGCCACTTCTGAGCCATCATACATATCTTTCAACAAGTACTTCCTAAGTGTGTGTTTGTGCTCATCATCACTAAAACTACCCATTCCACGAGGTGCTCTCTGTGAAATAAGGTATGCCATTCCGAGAAGAACTGATTCAAAGTAAAGTTCTGTCAAGATTATCCTTTTCCTCTTTCTCCTTTTGTTCTCTTCAGTTATGTAAGAAATCATGTCTACTTGATATGATGTTATGGAACTACACAATAATTACATAATTAGGCATCAATCATTTCTACAAAAAAATGAATCAACAAATTACACATTCAAGCAAGCATCAAAAGGACAATGCATAATTATACATATATCAGACCATCACAAGTATGTAACAAATCATTCTACTTTATTTGATGTAACAAATCTGACCATCACAAGCATTAAAAGAACATCTCTACAACTATCAGACCATCACAAATATGTAACAAATCATTGCTACTTTATCAGATGTAACAAATCTGACCATCACAAGCATCAAAAGAACATCTCTACAATGTTAGACCATCACAAGCATAACAGAGGAATGGTGTGTTCTTCAGTTACCTTTGATCTGCTTGCTCCGAATACATCCTCCGATCCACTGACATTCAGATCTACAGACCAATCCACTAAGTTGTTGTTCATCAAAAGGAAAAAAATAGCATACTGATACATACATGGTGAGTAGAAGGGATTGGGGATTTAGGGTTTCTGTATGGGGTTAGGGATTGGGATAGGGACGAGGGCTATGGGGGGCTTCATGAATAAGCAGCCAGGGGGAGGGCTCCCGTGACATCCAGTGATGGAGGGGCACCGCGGCTATGGCAAAAGAAGACGGCCATCGGCGGCAAACGACGGGACAGGCGGGGAGGTGGGCTGGTCGGGTGATACGAGGCACAGGGACTTGGACACATGCGGGGGAGGAGTGGATCTACCGCCCGGAGAGAACGGAGAAGAAGGGGAAGGGCGGAGAGGGGATGACCTGCGCAGCTGGAAGCTCTGCACCGCGCCATGTTCGCCTCCTCTCCCGCTCGCCGCTCTACCTCTTCTTTTTGTGAGCGCGGTCGAAGGGGTAAGCGCGGGTGTGTTACTGAATATCATAGCGAAAATCTAGCTTGGCCCCTCCGAATTCGGGAACAGAGAGGCGGGCTTTCGAGCGGGCCATCCAATATTCTGGGCCAATTTGGTGGACTCAATTCCAAATGCATCTGAACAGCAGAATTCGGCCTATCCAATGCCAATATCAATATCATGGCCTGAATATCAACATCCAAACATAGTATTAGTCACATTGGGCTCATTATGATGATGCATTACCGAGTGGGCCCAGAGATACCTCTCCATCATACGGAGTGACAAATCCCAGTCTGAAAGTGCAACTATCCCTGGGTGGTTTTGGTAATTCCTAACAACATATAGCTCATTGAGCTAATGTTATTTCAAGATGAATATTTCAGGAAAGCTCAGTGATTGGCATGGCATGGATTAAGGAAGTGGACCCCTCAAAATGTTAAGGACATAAGGATTGGCTCAAGCTCAAAGCACAAGACTCTACATTTTACTTTTAGTGATCCAAGATCACATTGAGTCCATAGGAAAATCCAATACTATTAAGAGGGGGTGAGGTGTTGCTTAATGAGTTTATTGCTCAAAGTGCTTAGTGATATGCTCCAAAGCCCTCAACTATTTTCTCATATCCACATATGTCCCAAACCAAAAGTCAAACTCAGCCCCACCGATTTGATCTATCCGGCGCCACCGAGTTCTCTTGACATAGCCATTGCCAGAAACCCTAGTCTTTTCTATCTCACCGATAGGGATCTCGGTCTCACCGAGATGGGATTGTAATCTCTCTGTTTCCCTTCGTAACGTTTAGGTCAAACCGAGATGAGCGATCCCTCCCACCGAGATTGCAATGCAAACTCTCTGTTTCCCCTTCGTAACATTTCGGTCCAACCGAGATAAGTGAATCGGTCCCATCGAGTTTGCCTGACCAAATCTCTGGTTAATCTATTACCAAAATTGGTCTCACCGAGTTTGTGTAATCGGTCTCACCGAGATTACGTTATGCCCTAACCCTAATGAAATCGGTCCTACCGAGTTAACATGTCGGTACCACTGAAAATCCTAACGTTCACATTTTGAACTAAATCGGTCTGCCGAGTTCTCTGAATCGGTCCCACCGAGTTTGGTGATTTGTGTGTAACGGTTAGATTTTGTGTGGAGGCTATATATACCCCTCCATCCACTCTTCATTCATGGAGAGAGCCATCAGAACATGCCTACACTTCCAACATACATTTTCTAAGAGAGAACCACCTACACTTGTGTTGGGGTCAAGATATTCCATTCCAACCACATAAATCTTGATCTCTAGCCTTCCCCAAGTTGCTTTCCACTCAAATCATCTTTCCACCAAATCCAATCCTATGAGAGAGAGTTGAGTGTTGGGGAGACTACCATTTGAAGCACAAGAGCAAGGAGTTCATCATCAACACACCATTTGTTACCTCTTGGAGAGTGGTGTCTCCTAGACTAGTTAGGTGTCACTTGGGAGCGTCCGTCAAGATTGTGGAGTTGAACCAAGGAGTTTGTAAGGGCAAGGAGATCGCCCACTTCGTGAAGATCTACCCGAGTGAGCCAAGTCCTTCGTGGGCGACGGTCATGGTGGGATATACAAGGTTGCTTCTTCGTGGACCCTTCGTGGGTGGAGCCCTCCGTGGACTCGCGCAACCGTTACCCTTCATGGGTTGAAGTCTCCATCAACGTGGATGTACGATAGCACCACCTATCGGAACCACGGATAAAAAATCTCCGTGTCAACATTGTGTTTGCTCCCTCAAACTCCTCCCTTTACCTTCATATGCAATTGTTCTACATTCCGCTGCTATACTCTTAGAATTGCATGTGTAGGTTGATTACTTGAGTTGTCTAAGTTGCTAAAATCTGCCAAGACTTAAAATTGGGAAAAGGCTAGATTTTTATTTGGTCAAGTAGTCTAATCACCCCCCCCGCCCCCCTCTAGACATACTTTCGATCCTGCAAGTGGTATCAGAGCTTTGGTATCCATTTGCTTTGATTTCCATAGCTTTTGGTGGTCATAGCCTTGGTTTCACAACCTAGAAGAGTATGGTGTCTAGAGAGGGAAATTACCGCCGTAGAGGTCCTTACTTTGATGGTACTAATTTTGCTAGTTGGAAGCATAATATGAAAATGCTTATTCTTGGACATAACCCTGCCGTTTGGGCTATTGTGTGTATTGGCTTGCAAGGTGAATTCTTTAATGGGAGAGAACCAAACCGTGAAGCTACCGCGGAAGAGTTGAAGATGCTGCAATACAATGCTCAAGCTTGTGATATTCTCTTCAATGGATTGTGCCCCGAAGAATTCAACAAAATCAGCCGTCTTGAGAATGCAAAGGAAATTTGGGATACTTTGATTGATATGCACGAAGGTACCGACTCCGTCAAGGAATCCAGATTGGATGTGCTTCAAAGTCAACTTGACAAGTTCAA